CCAAACCGCTCGTACATTTCTTTTGTTGTTGTACCATCGAGTTCAGCACACTTCATGTATATAATTCATGTATAAATTCATGTATAATCACGTGTAAAAATATATGCATATGTGTGTGAAAAATGGATTTGAATGGTTTAATGTCATCAACATTACCTTTCCGAACAGCATTTGACCAATATCTTTGATTGCATTATATTCGTGTATAAGACGATAGTGATCATCCAAAGCCTTTTGAATATTCACATTTCCTCTCATAAATCATAAAGATCGAAATTAGTTCAAGTTAGTTCACCTTAAATCTTAATTGAATGAACTTACTGTAATCGACTTCTTAAACTTGCCTCTTCTGCTCGCAATTTGTCAAGTTGCTCTTGAAGTGATTGTAAACGATGCTCAAGAGCTTCCTATACATAACGTTTGTCTGTCATATACAGATATATATACACATACATTATATGAAATTGAAAATTGTAAAATTGTATGCACACTTTCTTAGAAACCGTGTCTGTGTCTTCATGCAATGAGTTCCGCTATAAACGATATAAGGTTAAAATGGTACCTGAAAAATGAAAATAAATTTTGATGAAATAATTCTATTTTTACTTTTAGTGATGGTAAATTATTATCTTCCATATTGATTAATCGCTAAGCGTAAAGAAATGGAAAGATACAGCGTTAAAACGCGACTTAATTTAAGTTACTGCCACGTGATCTTAAACAAATCAGAATGGGAATTGCTACCGACACAGCAACACGTGATTTATCCCCCTTATCTCCCCAGCGGCAAAGCTTTCATTTTTGATACACCTGCATCTACTTTTTTGATACTCCCAAAATTTATATATTTTTTTTGATACTGATATCACGTAAAATCACCAAAAAAAATGAATATTATAACTTTCATAATGCACCAGCCCTTCATGGATGCATTTTGGCGAAAGCTCTCACTTCGGCACATCTAACGTTCTACTTTTGATACCAGGTATTTGCAAACTGGAGAAAGATCAAGCAAAAGAAAGCAAAATAATTGCATACTTTCGAAGCCATATTAC